TTCCAGATAATCCAAACTAACCTGGACTATGTCCAGCGACTTAATCTTTGAATCATATTTATCGTATCCTAGTCCCGTCATTCCACTGAATTGCTTTTACTGAATTTGTCTTTGGGAGTCATGCCTTCACCTTTCACTAGGGGTTCCCAAAAGAGCTCACCACAATCCACTGTTGCAATGACTATGCTACCAAGGTCTACTTGAGGACATACCCTGGTGCCCCCTTTGTGAAGGCTTGAGGATGAAATTTCCTTCAGAACTGAGTGACAGAAGGACTCTGCTTTCCTTCAATAACCCATGATTTTGTCCCTGTGTGAACAATGAGAAGTTAGTTTGTTAAGAGGGAGACTGGTCCTTGGGACACGTTCTTTGTCCAATGCTATGAATTTTTCTTATAGTTGTAATTCACTACATTTCAGAGGGGAGAGACAGAATCACAGAGAGGGTCACTGTTTTTTTTTCCTTCTCCATGAATGACCTTACACTGTTGTGAATTCTTTTTTCACCTTAAATCCAAGGGCAGGAAAAATAACATTCCAGTTTCTTCACAGTTCCATTAAGCAAAGGTTATCAGCTTATTTTAAAAATAGTGCCTGAAGAAAATTGCCCTCTTGAGGTTTTAATAAGTACTTAAAACTAAATACATTTTAAAAATCATTAAAGAAAACAACTTTTTTAAATTGAAAGAAACAGTAGTACTTATTTTGAAAAGACTGTTGATGTCACGGTGATTTATTGGGTAAATACAAAGTATAGGCTCTTGCTTTTTTTTTTTTTTTCTTTAAGTAAAGCCAAAGAGATTAGAAACCAAGTACACATATTCCCTTTATAATAGAAACGTAAATTGTTTTAACTAACAATTAGGCACTTAAATGTAAATGTAAAACAGCATTTTGAAGTACAAACTTATCATTACACTCCTAAATTCCTCCTGAAATGTTTTTACAAACACAAAAGCACAAGCAAGTAATACATATTTTAAAACAAAGATAAAATCCTCTTTTCAAAAAACAAACCTGAATTCAAATCCCATATGACAGACCAATGATTAAGGTACTGGTGGGTAGGAGAAAAGAGCTTCTCAAATTTACATATTTGATTAAAACATAACCATTTAATAAAACTATTACAATAACATACAGTAATTTCATAATGAAAAATATATGTCAGGAAAATAATGAAATTCTAGGCTTAAAATTTTACTTTACAACAAGGCACTTAACACATTGAAACAGTACAGTAAACTTCCGAAAGAATGCAACTGGCTACCTCTCCAACCTCGTAATAATATTTCTTTTATGAATACTATACTGTAACATAACCATACATTATGCAGCATTAATCATTGCATAGGAGGTAAATTAAACAATGAATCCCAACTTGGCAACTAGATTAGCTTATGTTTATAGTTTTTTTCTTTTTCTTTTAAAGGACAGTTTTAAATAATTCCACAATAAAGAACTACTCTCATTCATGATTCATTTAGAACACAGCATAGTTAGATTAATGAAAAATAAAATAAAACACAACTTATAAGGTATGTATCTATATAAAAACATCTTTGGCTACCTTTGACATGATTTTCAGTGTTTAGGTACTGAAGTCAAGAGCACTTCTTAATAGATGATATATTTTTAGCAAATAAGTCAAATGAGTTAAATTATTGCAACACAATAACATTTTTAAAAAACACCAGGAATCTTTATACATACAAACAGAAAGGCCTTCAACACATGGCATATTACTTGTAATATGCTTGATTTAAACATGTAAACTCATTTATTAAGAAATTCCTTCTTACACTTCCTTACACTACAGAAGTGTGTTGAGACCGGCTTAAATTTTCAATCAGTTTTACAGTGCTAAACAAAAACAACAATAAAAGAGGAATTTAAAAAAGAAAGTTCAGAATCTTCAAGGAACAAGATGTGAACTTCCAATTTTAAAACAAAACTGCATGAGTTCTAACATGTAAAAAAAAAAAAGGCAGCCAAATTGGTGTTTCAAAGTAAACAAAGTATCGGTAGTTATAAAGGGAGACATTAATGATTGTGATGGTGAGAGGTAAAAATGGTCTGCAAATTTTCTTTGATCAAATGGATAAAAGATTAGAATTGCAACTCCCTGTAACCTAAGTACATTTTCCCTTTGGGAAAGGTTTAAAATGCCTTTAAAATAATTCCTTTTGCATTACGCTTTCAGATTACTGGCAAAAATAATAAAAAACCTGTCTTTTAAAAACATGAAAATACACTTTTTAAAGTGGCAAGTTTGTATTCCAAGTCATATAACATATTTCCACAAGGGGGCGCTGGTATGCAGCAATCAACCTGATGCAACGTCATCCATGAGCCAGACTAGAGACTCGCCCTCACTCAACACAGCCTTCCTTCCACAGCAAAACTCGTTTCCCACGATGCCAGTAAATTAAATAATTCAAAATTACCGGTGGAATTGGGGAAGAATGATTTATTTTCAGAGCTAGTGGAGGACCTTAAAAAATGGAATCTAAGAAGAATTCATTTTCATTTCAAAGAATTTAGAAAAAAGTGGCATAATTTATAGAAATTGTTATAGATATTGCACAGAAGGATTAAATTACAGGAGAAGCTACAAAACAAGGATAATCGATGATAGTGTATCTTGATTAGCAAGGAAAAGAAGCTCCAAAAATTTGTTTCAAGGGCAAGATCGTAATTTTTTTAATTGAGACATAATTGACATATAGTATTACATTAGTTTTGGATGTACAGCATAATGTTTTGATGTTTCTATATACTGCAAAATGATAACCACAATAAGTCTAGTCACTGTTTCTGTTTTATATTCCAGAGTGGCATGTGGGGTTAAACCTCAAGTTTGCTTTCCTAAGTGTAAGTGAGATTCATTATTTCTCTTATTTTCCCATCTGAAACTCGGACACCCATTCCTTCACCCTTATTTTGGTATCACATGCTTCCACAGCGTTTATTAGAGAGCAATGACTTACACTGTAAAGAACGTGGGAGCGGCAGTATCCACATGTGGGATCATACGTGTTTTTAAAGTTCTTTAAAAGGTGATGTTTTGTGTGTTGTATGGTCTTTTTAAACTGGATTACTTGACTAAAATGCAAGGTTTACTGTTTCAAGGATCTCCAGCAATCAATACACCATGATTTTTTAAAGCTTCAATATGTTTCCTTATTTAATTTGAAGAAAAGTGGGTTATCTAAGATGCAGTTGAATAAGGCTCTGAGGCATATCAGGTTGTTTCATTTAAATTAGAGACTCAAAGGAATGTCTCAGGGTTAGGAGAGCAAGACCCAGGCTTCAGGGTCAGGTGCTTTTCCTCACAATCGGACAGCAGGAATTTAAAATCAGTGTTTTTAACCAGAACACCTTGTTCTATCACAAGTGTCAATACGTAATAAATGAAAACAAGTGAAACTTATGTAGAATTATGGCTGAACACACAAGTAAGCTATAGATATGTTTCTTACTGGTTTAATAATAAATGTTGGAGAAATTTCTTGCATTTCAAAACCTGCCAAGGAGGTTGAAGTTTTCATTTCTTGTTTTAAGTACCCAGGTTAGATAATCTTTCTTCCTGGCTTTGAATTCAGCTACCTTTCCTTTAATGATTCTTCTATGGAACAGAGAAAGAGCCAAACTGAAAACACACACAGAATGTTAGCACCAAAGGGCAATGGCCTTTCTGAACAGATTTAGATTAACTACTTCATAATGATGAATTTAGGGATTTGTTTTTCATTCTAAGTGGAGGGAAATTTTCACATAAATGTAACTGCCTCTTTTCCACCCCAATTGGCTTCTCTGCCATCTGACCTAGTGTTGATGATTTTGTAACCTTAAATCTTTTTCTCAGGTTACTAGAAGTCTTAAAAAATTAAGCCAAGAATTATAAAAAAGACTCAACAGAGTGGAAGGAGAATTGACTCTGGGTGGTTAACACACAATGTGATATATAGATGAGGTACTACAGAATTGTACACCTGAAACCTATGTAACTTTACTAACCACTGTCACCCAATAAACTTTAATAGTAAAAAAAAATAAAAAAAAAATGACTCAACAGTATTAAAACAATGCACTAAATCCGGTAGCATTAAATCTGACTGGATTTTTTTTAAAGTCCATCTTTTTTGCATCACCTGAAAGAACTTTAGAAATGATGACCCCTTTTGTTATGCAGCTGTAACTAACACCACCGATTCCACCAGTAGATTACAGTGCAGCACCGTGGTATAATTTCAGGGTCAAAGTAAAATGACTCAATTGTGGTATGTGTCCTTAGTCCTTCTCATAAACACTGAGTTTATAAGAAGCTGGGTCTCTTGCTAAAAGGCAAGGCCACACTAAATTTTTGGACTCCATCTTGGTTTTTCCATAAAGCGCAACGTAACCAGAAAGAAATGGTTTTCAGTGAAATGTGACCAATCATATTTTAGTTCCAACTAGCAGCTCTAAAACAGATCTCACATAGGGCGAGACCTGGGAGAGAAATGCAGGTGTGTTCCCCAAGTGGCATGGGCATCAGTTCACACACATGTGTTTTCAGACTGTGCTCAAGCATTCGACGGCCCTGGGGGTACCAGGTGCAAATTTACCAGGTAGACAGCAGCTAAGTGTGCACACAAGGACCACTTGTTAGCAGAAACAGCCCTGCTTCCTGTGTGCCTGTCACAGAGATCTTAAAATGAAATATTTACACATGTGTAAGATCTGTGGGGTGTGTCAAATACTTCCATGTTTACTTAGATCGCATTTGTTTCATTTTTTTGAAATAATCAGTTTAAGAAAATAAAGTAAAAGTGATACATAGAGCATTGGGGTGGTAGCAGCAGTGCACGTTCCCAGACCTAACCCTGACCTTCCCCGTGATAGGGCAGAAACAAAGTTCACCCAAAGTGTACTTAGGAGCCCTGGATCTCCCCATAATTACGAAGCCTAATGCTAAGAGCCCCTTTCAACATTAGGTTATTCTATTTACACAGTACCTGTATCTGTCCAGATAGTTTATTTAAAACATCAACAAATTCTTCTGACCTTGGAAGAAAACAAAATAACCACCCCTGAAAAAATTCTGAAGTAGAGAGCTTTAGTGGAAAAAAAACTAAGGAAAGGAGTAGTATGTTCTTTGGCACCTCTTTAACAAGCTCATTAGTAAAATCCCGGGTTGAGGGCATGTCACCAATGAATGAAGAGCCATTGGAGAATGTAACTTAGGACGAATAAAAACCAGTCAAAGGGTAATACTTTGTTCATCTTTCTAATCATTTACACAAAATTTGGTCCACTTCTTCATTTACCAGTCAGTTCCTCTAAAATTAAAAACAAAACAAAACAAAACTATACCTTTGGTTACAGTGATACCTCTTTTGGTATAAAAGCTGATGTCTCTGTTCTGCTCCTCAGGTCGATTTCTCATTATCTTCACCTATCTTCTGAACCCGAGAATACTTTTTACATGATGATTTAAAGCAGCCAGGAGGCCAGGAGAGTGGCCAGGAGAAGCAGCAGGGAATTGCGCCTTGCACGTTTTTCTCAAAAAAATAAAAGATGGGGAACCACCATGCTCGAGACAAAAAATTAGTCTGTGAAGAGACCTTCAAGTTCTGTAAAAGGCAGGGAAAAAGTAAAATGAGACATATTTTTCATGATGTACATCCCAATTTCTTTTCTTAATTAAACTGTCATTCGCTGTAATTTAACAGGGAAAGTAGCAATTTAACAAATACAACAGTAATTGTCTTTGAGCCTTTTCCCTAACTCTGGCGTGACTCTCACCCCCTTCCCATTCCACTCTTTTTCCCCTCTTTGTGGTTCATGCAAATCTTCTGCCTGCAATTCCGGTGAGAATGGAAACTCAGGAATGAATCGATGTGAGAGTTATTATCCAGGAGAAACAATTTTCTGGATGTGAGTAGTCAGGTCTACGGGTCAAGGAGGATGGAAGAGTGAAAGGAGAGCACACACAAAGTTGAATATATTTAAGAGGAAAGATGAAAATTTTGGTTCAAGGGCATCAGCAGGTATCTAGATGGAAGTGAACAAAGATAGATGGCAACAGGAGACTACAAAACAGGATATAGAGCTAAAAGACAAATACATTCATGGGAAGAGCACGTAGTAGTGGCCACCACTAAATGAGAATTGGATTTGGATCCTTTAGGAAGGACGCATTTTGATCTCTCACAAATTCTTCAAACATTAAATGCATCCAACAATATGGCAAGACAATCCCAAGATAAGTAAGTCACAGCACACAAACTCTAATATGCCAAGGACACACACCAAGACCAGGAAAGCATGGAGAAAAGGATGAATAATTCCATCTTGGGACTAGAGGCAGAGTGCAGGAGTTTGGGAAGGCTTCCCAGAAGAGGTGGCATTTGAGCCAGCTCTTTCAGAATGAATGGAAGAAGAAAAAAAGTTCACCTGGAAACAGGAGACAGCAGAAATAAGGAAGAATAAGAAGGGAAGCCAGAGAGCCCAGCAAATGTATAATAACTGAATCCAGTTATTATAAGTTATTTATTTTGCCTGACTTTCAAAAATAGTTGCCATCTTGTCCTCAAAATTAAGTTCTTTGAAAACAGGGAGTGTCTTACTTAGCTGCACCTCAATGCTTCTACAGAGAAAGTTCCTAATTTTTAATTTGGCATATACACTTCTTTAATTCTCATATAAACTGGTTAAATTAGTAAAACCTCATGCTCTATACTCAGACAGCATTTTAAACCTTAAATGGCATTTATATTTGTGACCTTCTTTCTTTCAAGCAGCAGTAATGGCTATAAGCTTAAGTGAACATTTGGGTGGCAACAGCGGTTATTCCCATTAAACTACCTCAAACCCCATTGTATGAAAAAGGGTCCACTGCATTTAAAGAAAAGAAATTATCCAGGGTAATTTCCCGGCTCTCACCTTTTCATTGGCCATGGAATGGTACCACCAAAACAGCCGTGTTGTGATGTAATAAGCGACGATCACATCGACGGTATAGTGTTCATGTGCTACAAGAATGCAGATGATCCCAGCAGCACTCAGCAGCCAGCAGATTAAATGATACCACCAGAAGTGACGGGGCGAATCTGGACAGCAGAAAAAGTGTAGAGTTAATAAGATCCTCAGAGATGAACTTAATTTTCACAGTCTCTCCTGGTAGAATAATCTAAGGCCAAGAAGTCATCGGAAGGAGAAAACTAACAACCCACAAGGCGTCCCTGGAAACAGCCCAGGATTTGTCCGGGTAGGAAGGGAAAAGGGGGCACCACTGATAGCAGGTCTGAAAGTCATTCGTTGGGGAGGCTGGTGATACTGGAGACTCTAGGCCTTGCCCACTGCTAAGCTGTTTAATAAGGAAGAGAACAGGGTTATTTCTTATTAGGTTGGTTGCACTTGGCTCATACTGGCTCACACAATGGATCCCACTAGAAAGAAAAACAGCAGGGGTCAAAAGAAAAGGTAGTTGTCAATGAAAATGGAGAGGGGAGTGGAATTAGAGAGCAGGAGTAATTTCTTCAAGGGGAGAAAAATGGCACTGTGGCTAGCAATATTTTCATTCTCAGCAATTCTATACTGTTACTGCCAATAGCATCCGTAAAACTCGTCCTATGTAAAGGATTCTTGCCAGTTAACTTAAGGATTCCAGCCCTCCCGGTGAGGCCAAGTTCATCGCACTGGTCAACTGTAGGACAGAACTGGAGCTCTCATCAGGTTAAACATCGTTCACACGCCCCACAGCCTCCCCACACACGTGTTAATGACACAGATCATATAAATGGAACCAAGTTTATCTCTATTCACTTCTCTTTTTTTCTTTAATAACTTTCTTTTTTTTCTAATTTAAAGCTTTATGAGCTCACAAAGTTAATAATCTAATAAACGGAAATGTATTTCATATGTAATTGTGTTTACGTTGATAGTGGTATTTACTTTCAAGTGTGGAAGAATAGCTGAATAGCCAATGGATCCATTTCTAGAACTTTGGATGAAATACCAACTCAGGTATCATTTAAATAAAAAAATATGCTTCGGTAAAATAGCTGTTGCCCTTTTGGTCTCAAGTAGAACAGGAAGATAATAAACCTGGATTTGCATTTGAAAGTCTGACTCCCTAATTTTGAATGTGCTTTGCATTATTTCTCATTTGGTTCATCCTGCCACTAAGTTCTGGCAGACAACATATATTCTTAGAATTTTAAAGCTGGGGGAAGCTTTATTCTGGTAGACTAAGGAGCCAGATCCAGTCCCCATAACTGTTCTAGTTAGTTCAGTTTTTAACATTCTGAGCCTACCATTTAGAAACCTGGAGATTTCACTCAATATGCATTTTCCAGCGCCACAGACTTCACCCTTCCCTAAAGTCTCACACCAACCCTGCTCCTTTGCTTATAGGTCATTTGGTGTTTACCTTCAAGTTCAAAATGTCTGAGTGAACCAGAACTATTTTGTATTTGCTTATCCACAAGAAGCAAAGCCAATGTAGTTAAGGAGTGAGGAGATGGCCTGATGGTCATTTTACTTCCCATGGAATTGAAAATGAGGTTTTAGAATAGCTGGGAACACTAGCACTCCTCTCCCGTAAAAATGCATTTTCTACTATGCTATCACACTGGGACTATAGCTCATTAATGGAAAACACTGGCTGACCCAAAGAAAAGATTTAATAGAAACTATTGGGTTGTCGGAAAAGTCATGACGCATTTTTGCAACGAAAAACAGAAAAAAATACTGCATGACTTTTCCGACAACCCAATATTTTGAAGTAGAAATGGCAAAACGGTAATCCTCTCTGCTCTCTCATTTTACCCAGAGGGATAACATCAAACTGAATATTGATAACACAAATATTAATCACTCTACTGTCTGCATAGGATCCTAGCCCTAGCTGTCAATGAATAATAGAGACAATGGACTTTGTGTGGTAGCAAGATAAAAAAGAAAAAAAAAATTTTTTCTCAACTACCAAGACATAAGTTACTAACAGCGAGGCTGGTATCTCCGGTCTAATTTTATAAGAAACCTAAGCCCCAATGATAATATCTGTCCAATTGTGCAAAGCCCTCTCTTGTTAAACCTCAAAATCATCCCAGTCACATGTTTTCATCTGCTTTCATGACTAAGTTCAAGTTCACTCATGACAATGGGGCAAACACAAGGAGAGAGTCCAAACTGATCAAAAGGCAAGAAAACAAAACAATATATAAATAATGCATCTAATTCTAGAAGCAGACTGTTCAAAGAAACCACTAGAACCACTGCTTACTCAGAACAATAATGCATGGTATAATTTAGAAAGTGACTGTTTTTCCCTAAGTGCGTAGGAAATGGGCACAAGCATGGGATGTGTATGTAGAGAGCTGACTTTAAAGCTGAGCTGTGTTAAGTCCTGCAGATTTGCCATTTTTACTTCCCACCAAAGACTGGAAAACGCAGAATACAATTCTTTCCTCACTCTATGTAAACTTACACAATTAAAAAAACCTCAAGCTAAACTCACATCTTGGGAAGAAAATGCCCCTACATACTGCATGGCCTTCATTAAGGAATAAAAATGACCACAAGTTGCCCTGCTATGGTTCTGAGGTAAAAGATAGAACAATAATGAGCAACGTACCCAGATTATTCCTTAGTAATTCTATAAAAATCAGACAACTTGGGCTTCCAAAAATTCTAAACAGAGCCAAGAAATTAATAGCAGAAGCTCTGGAGTCTACCTGCTTGAGTTTGAATAACTGATGATGGGCGTGGTTGGTCGCTTACTTTCTCTCTGCTTAAGGTCCCTCTCTGAAAAATGAGGAAAAACAGTGCTTCCCACCTGGGCTGGCTGCAGGATTGAGTGGGTTAATCTATATTAAGATCTTAGAAGAATGCCTGGCACAGAGGAGGTATTGTGTCTATTTGTTATTGTTAACATCATGTCGTCTTCAGTTATTTTATAAAACTCACTCTTGGTTCCCTTGAGTGTTTTCTCCTCATTACTTCATAGTTTGCAACCCATGGAGACCTCACTCTTAACATGTAACTACCCCCACCCTTATCTTCATCTTCTACAAGCTTTTTATGATCCTCAGATTCGAGAGAAGATCCTCTACCTCAGAGGCACCCGTGGACTAGAAAATGACTGATCGTACATACAAATGGAACTTCCCTCGGTAAAAGCTAGAGTTAGAACCACACACAGCACAAACCATGCCACCTGCCTCACCACACCCGCTGAACCAAAAATTAGGTATTAGAAATGTAGTAACTAAAGTTTAAGGAAGAGACTATTATCTCCCGACATTGGTGCAGAGACAAGCCTGGGTCCCTCCCACCACCACCTCTCAGAGAGCGTGAGAGGAGAAATTAAGGGAAAAGCACAGAAAGCCCTCCACCTTAAAGTATGATAAGGCCACACACTTCACACGTCACTAAGTTCATATAGAGCATTTACAAAGGAAACAATTCAGAAGCTACATAATTCTCACCAAAAAATAAGATTTTACTTCGCCTACTACCCTGTATCCCCGAAAATAAGACCTAGCAGGAAAATAAGCCCTCACATGATTTTAGGCGCCAAAGTATGGCACCTTGGCATACTGAATATTTTAAGCTGAAGGAGTCTGTGGGAAAAGGCCCCCTTCTCCCTGAAACAGGTCATAAAACCCTCATGTGAGGGGTGTGTGCCCTCTGTATCCTGGAGGAATCCTGCTACGGCTTCTTCTCCGGCTAGGTCTTATTTTTGGGGAAACATGGTACAAGAGAATTTCAACTCTTTGTCATATATTGCCCCTAAAGCAGAACTTAAACCTAAAACCCAGGCAATCTGTGGGATAAAATTCACTTCTGCACCACCAGGAGGTAAATTTTGATGTCTGTACTGCCATTACATGAGGTCACACCTGTTTGGATTAATGAAAGGCCAAGACAGGAGGGAGGAAGGACAGAGGGGGTAAGGTGCCTTCAGCAGTCTCTGCAAAGGACCTCCTCTACAACACTGTAAGGGAAGAGAACTGAGATAAACCTCTGAAAAACACTGGCATGGGTTACCTTGGAGGGGAAGCATCACTATTTATCAAAAGGATTTTGAGATAATGGACCTAAATATACAAAATCTCAGAAATCTACAAGAATGGGATCAGCTAGGCAGTTAAAACCAAATACAGCCCACAATGAACAAGACATTGCAGCATTCAAGTTGCTGAGCTATAAAAGGATTTTGTATGATGGGAATTAAGTGTATAAATAAGGAAAGATACTTCACATTCTTGCCTCCATGCTTCTTCTTAATGAAGACAATGATCAGTATTGGCAAAATGTTCCATGAAGATGCCTATTAAACCATAAAAGTCAGCTGGAAATAATAAAATTAGAATGTTTTAAAAAGAAGAAGGAAAAAACATTGTTACATGGAATGATGGAATGGAAGTTTCACTCAAAAGTCATTTATAGTTGGCTGTAGAGCACACTGATTCTTTTTGCAATAAACTTAACAATTGTTCCTTTTAGTTCCAACATTAAAATACCTTTTCATACCTCGAGAAGTACTAATCAAGGAGGGAGACATTTTGGAAGCATGCTAAACGTTACAGAGAAGCCAGGAACACATTTAAGGCTTCAGTCTTTAAATCACATATGACTAGCTAAAGTGATTTAAAACACACACACACACACACACGCACACACGCACACACGCGAGCGCGCGCATTCTTTATAGCTATCACGTCCAATAGAGTAAAGGCTTCGGGCTTAGGGAATCCCTCCCACTACAATGATCAGTAAAGTGGGAATGAGTTATTACTTACATTCTTTGATGAACAAATAAGTAAGCGTCAGCACAACTGTGTGACCGCTGAAGAGAAAGTCTCCACATAAGATATGCGATCCAGTTATGGACAGCCCACCACCGGAAATCAACCGCAAAATCCGCTGTATTTTTGCCTGAGAGTCTCCATTGAGCTGAATGACACAACGAGATCAGGAAGAAAATTTATAAGCTGATAAAATCATGTTTCAGCCTAATTTGTGTGAAACTTAGAAAGGCCACCAGGTTGTGATTTTTTTTTTTCTTTTTAACTTAAAAAGAAAAAAAAAATCCTAAGGGGAAGCTCCTCAAACTGGGTTTTAGTCCTTGTATTGGCCAGTTTTAGTGACACGTTTTAAATTATTCAGGATGTTTCTAATAATATGTTTTGGTGATGTTGTGTCCTTGGGCAAAGCTTTTAAAAATATTAATAACTAATGACTTCACCACAGCTATGTGCTAAAAAAGATCAAAGCTACTTTCTTTCCTCTTTGCAGGGGAAGTCAGGGTTTTGGATGGTTAATATTTGATTCAGCTGCATACCACATTACTAATATCGTACAGTGTATTCAGGCATTGTGTTAAGTTGTCAGCCTGAAGCATGCATATAGCTGTATTAATATCTGATGAAACACAGTTTAAAAGAGAGCTGCAACACATTAAATAATTTAAATAGGTTTGAAATAATGGATTAGTGAGGTACTGGCAGCTTCAAAAATAAATATCTTTGATCAGGGAAAACAGCCCTGAAAGAAATAACCTGTGTGCTGCGGCAGAGGGTCAGGAAAGAGCTCCCTTTGGCTGGGTATAGAAGTCTCTAGAAGCCACCGTGATGAAATGGGAAACAATGATGGGCTGGGCAGGACTTGGAGGCAAAAGTCCAAAGTTTATATCCTGTTAAAACCTAAGCATTCAAGAAAGAGTCGTGGACCGAGTCGGTCAATATGGTAGGCATAGAAAGTTGGAATACTGATATGTTGGGAGGCAAGGCAGAGGATTTCAGATTGGTCTAGAATAAAGTGAGTCCTCTTAGAAAAGTAAAGAATGCTACTCAGAAATAAGATCGAGTAACAGAACACATGAAAAGAGAAATAGAGGAACACCATTAATCACTATTCATTTGGGATCCAGGGGACAGCTGTATGAGATGCTGCCTTTTATACTCAATGATGATCCTCTGGGCAGCTGGGCCCTGAAGCACAGCCAGTCTAGCCCTGATGGTGGTTAAACTGTTTAGTGGTAAAGACAGGTATTGTCTTGTCCAGGTGGATGCATGGTGGTGAAGGAGGGTAAGACACGTATAGATAGATGGATGGGAAGAGCATCTAGGACAGCGGTTCTCAACCTGTGGGTCGCAACCCCTTTGGGGGTCGAACGACCTTTTCACAGGGGTCGCCGGGTACTCGTATGTGGGTGTATCTGCATGTAGTCCTGGAGACGGATAGAGGAGCGGTGTCTCGGTTCCTAAGACCATCGAAAATATGTGTTTTCCGATGGTCTTAGGCGACCCCTGTGAAAGGTTGAGAACCGCTGGTCTAGGAGGAAAGAGATTAAGTTAGCCTCCAAAGCATGTGGAAATCCATCCTAACCCATAGAGCAAGGAATTGGGGCAGGATTCCTTCCCTAAAACATCCATATCAGACAAAACTTTCCTGATTAAAAAAAAAAAATCTTATGGATCTGGAAAGCTTTCCACAATTCTCAATGACGTGAACCAGGTTTGAGGGTAGGGTGAGAAACAGGCGATCTCGAGGAATCTTAACCTTCTTCAAAAGTGTGCTTAGGGGGGGCGGCCAAGTGGCTCAGTTGGTTAAGAGTGCAAGCTCTGAGCAACAGGCACCAGTGTGATTCCCACATGGGTCAGTAAGCTGCACCAGAGCTGAGCTGCTGCTGAGCTGTCAACAGGTGGCAGGATGGCTCAGCTGGTAAGAGCACGTGCTCCTAACAACAAGGTTGCCAGTTTGATTTCCACATGGGATGGTGGGCTAGGCTCACCTGCAACTAAGATTGACACGGCACCTTGAGCTGAGTGACAGGTGGCCAGATGGCGACTGGACTTGGAGCTGAGCTACCTGTGCCCTCCACAACTAAAGACTGAAGGACAACAACTTGGCTGTTCCCCTTCCCCAATAAAATCTTTAAAAAAAAATAAAGGGTGCTTAGGGCAAACCCAGGTGACAAAAACCGAGAGAACATACATATTTTATCAAGCGTTGACAGTCCTTGAACCCAACATGCCAAGTAATAGGTAACCCTGCCTTGAAAAGGGAGGCTCTAGAAGGCAGTAAGGGGTCCACACCGAGAAAGGGAAGGACTGTGGACAGAGCTGCAGGACTCATTCCAGGTGCTACTCAGGAAAGACGGATGGCAAACGACATGAAATAATGTGATATGCCCTGATGCGGAGGATAGAATCTAGCTGTGTGCTTTATCAGATCAACCAGTCCTTCAGGAATTTCTTGTCAAGCGGTTGATAAAAACAACTGTCAACACTGAGATAAAACAAAAAGGTACGTACATTCTGCTCAACCACTATGTTCCCCGTTTAAACGAACATAGTACTCTTTATTTCAAAACCGTAATAATTGTTTTATCCACTCACTCGTCCTAACTTAATACTCTTATTTTCTAAGGGCAGAAACACTTAAAGCCCTCAGTCCCTTTACTTGGAGTTAGAGGGATCCAAAAGCATACATAAACCAGACATTTCCTCTTCTCCCCTTTGTTTCAGCAGTGCACTCGCATGTAGAGCTCTCAGACCATCTGACTCAGTATGCCTTCACAGAACACAGAAAAAACTCTCCCCTTGCTCTGTCTTCTCTCAGTTCTTAATTCCTCAATTGTGTCACTGCTACCCTAAGATGTCAAATCACACCCACTATAAATACTAAATAGAACCTCAAGTAAGGGAGGAAAAGAAAACTGGGAAATAGGGGAAGAACAGAGTTGGGATTAATGCATTGTTTTCTAATTCCATTCTAGTTCAGTGGGACCTCCTATCACACCATTTAATATCCCAGTTCCTAATAATTTCCTCATTTTTCAGATACCATCCTATGTCATTACGGGACATGGAACTGAAGATGTAGAAAGCTAAGAGATGCATCAATCATAATATCCAAAGCACACGGGGCTCACTGTTCTTGAGGGCTCCCCAAACTGTGACCGCTACACATCATTTCCTACAAAAATAAATGAGGTACAACAGATCCCAGTTTGGCTACTGATAAACCAGAAACCCTACCATCTACAGTGTCTCTTCAATTAAGAGGAGAAGCCCTCTGGACATCTATGACCAGGGTGAGAGGGAGGCTTTCTCTGGGAAGGGAGTGTAGCTATGCCAGCCCAACATTTTTGTATGTGGCAAAATGGGTTTAAAAGGCTATCTGATTTCATGTGAGTCCTAATAACTGGACCAAAATGTATTTAAGCACACTTTTCAGAACTCACATTTTGTGGCTGCAAACCAAAGCTTGGGTTGGTGGTTTGAAGCAAATCATCAGCAAAGGACTTAAGGTAAACCAGAGGCTACGGGAGAAGGCAGGTGGAAAAGTGCGAGCCACGGATTTCACCAAGGGACCTATCACTGCGATGGCACCGTGGTGATCGCCTCCAGTGAGTAACAGACTGTGTTAGCCACCAGTAACAAGCTGACATCCTCCTATAGCGAGTGATTTCAGTGGACTCATAGTCATGAAGGACATCTACAGTCAGCAACAAAGGAGACACGTAGGTTATCTAATAGCCTTACCAGCCACAAAAATCTAAGCTCAGCCAGTGGCTGAATCACATTCAAAATGCAATTCTGACTCCTGTTCCATAGAACACCACATCACTTTTATCAAAGGGATTGTATGTGTTTTACTGAATGAGTTGGGCACCAATAGGCTGCTTACGCTTCAGGAAGAGGTCCTGCCCACTGAACACAGGAGCTGATTAGTAAGGATGCTACCAGAGCTTCCACGGTATTTGGAGCTTGGGCATCCAGGGGTATGTTTACTAGTGTGGCTTCTGAAAATTGCAAGTCTTCCACGGAGAATACTTTCTTTCTGTAATCATAGCAATTCATCCCTGCAAACCTCAGCCATCAGTAGGACGGGCTTGCCTTTTTTTTTCCTGTGGCCATTTCTTCATGTAACACACAGCACTAACCCCTTAGAAGTGTTTATTATGTTTCTGAACTTCTCCTATGCTTTAATTTAGTTTCACTAAAAATCAGCCGATGTTTAAATTCAATATGTACACTGTTTTAATTACAGATACTTTCTGCATTGATGGCTCTGGAAAATTACAGTGTCCCCAAACCACACCTATTTTTGGTTGAGGGAGGCTGTTGACTTCTTCAGAACAACTCTATTTTTCCTTCCCCCTTGGACATCTGCCTAGTGTTCAGTAAAAATATGAAGTTAGACTTCATTCCATCGTCCAGAGAGCACAGGATCTGTAAGTTTCCTTTTTTATAAACCAGGGTACACGGGGGTCTAAGATGATTAACAGCTCTCTCGAGAAATGCCTCTCCCTGGAGAAGCTGTAAAGGCTGCTTAAGACAGTTTCAAAATCCATTCTCACACTGTCTCAGCTCAAGGCCACTCTGTCTTTCCAACTGCTAAAAATGTGGGGTTTATCCTTGACTGCTTTCTCTTAGACCCATGTCGAACTTACTAGCACGCCCTGTTGGCCCCTACCTTCAAGATGTGTCCCAAATCGAATGACTCCTTACTCCCAAGTGAATCCAGCTACTTCTTCCTCACTTGCCAAAACCAAGGTTCAAATTTGTGCAATGGCCACGGGGCCAATGGGTTCTGTAGCTGCACCACCTGGACCATCAGTTCCGTGCCGCCACACTGGTCGCTCTGCTCTTTCTTGTATCTACCTTGACTGTGCTCCTTCCTTGGCCTGGAGCTCTCACCTCATCCACAGGGCTCCCTCTCTCACCTTGGTTCCTGCCCAAATGCTTTCTCATTAAAGAAGTCTTTCTGAACGCTCTATAACCTAATACCTACCCCCATAGTCCCTTACTATTACTCAGCTTTACTGTTCTCCATCTGATAGCCGCCTGGCTTATCACCCTGTGACAAGTTAGAAATTATCAGTTGTCATCTCTCAATAGAATACAAGCTCTAGAAGGAGAAGGTGAGTAAGTAAATGAAAAGGTAAAAAAGTGAAAAGTCAAACACCCAATAACTTTGTTATTATGAATTTTTTATGCACAAAGATATACACTTTATGAACCCATTTTAATTTCTTCCCCCCAAAACCTAAAGAAAAACAGAAAATACGCTAGATTTCAGTTAACACATATGAAAGTGTCTTGAAGAATATACAATAGAGAGCAGGTGCTCAATAGCCATTTTCTTGATCGCCTCTAAATGGCAATTCAGGGGTACTTACCTTTGGAGCACACTGGAAATGCATTCCAGGCACAGGTAGCGTAGTGACGTACATTGTGATACAGCGATACAGGTATAAAGTTCCAATGATAAAAAAGAATCTGCGCCCCACTATTGACCTAAAGGAATAATAGAGATGGGGAAAAACAAGTTTACTAGTTGTTTCTCTTCCTAATGCTATATAAAACAGTGTTTAAAGGAATAAGACATAATACAGAATGGCATTAAGAGACCACAGTTTCACAGTTTCAAAGCTTATTTTTGAGCTGCCCATCCCCACAATTCCATGGAGAGGTTGCACAGCAGTTTTCAGAAATGAAGAGTCACATACTGCGATACATCTAGGTGGGATGGGCCCAAAGGGAGTGAGTCTGTGGGGAGTGGAGGAGTAGACGGAGGGTTCTAGATAACCGCCTTTTCTAAAAAAGTCACCCTTTGCCAGAGAATTCAGTGAAGCTCTAAGTTTTCAGTCAACTCACTGCATTAATAAAACCCTCTCTTGAGCCATGGTCACAGAGGAATTCAGTAATGAACTAAGGCGATGCTGCATAATTGGACACACAGGGAAATGGGACAACTCATTTAACCGAAGCTATAAAATAAGCAAGGTTTATTTGGGGACCATCCAGAAGTATTTTAACAACTTGGGCATCAACTATTTTGGCTATGACTATACTATAGATGTTCAGGGACTATTTTAAAGATGTTCAAAGTGTCCTTGTGCATTTAAGGGTATTTAATAATGAAGTTCTAAACAGACTAATTTGCCCTTATTTTACTCAGTCTTGATTGAAAAAAAAATCAAAAAGGAAAAACCCCACCCCACAAGTCCTTTCTCACTTTATATTCTTTTGGTGGAGACAGTGGTATTGATCACATTCATCCCTGTCCTTTACCCTGTGTCCTCAATCTAAGGCTGTGGTCCCAGTGTGTCCTCACTGTCCTCTGAAGGGAAGGGCTCTGCCCCTGCACAGCTGCCTCTGGGGTACCTGAGCGGGCATCAAGGGCTCTGAGTGTCCTCGCTTCCAGTTGAAGATAACAGCTTCTTTTCTATTGTGTGGTTAGGGTTAGGTCTAGAATCACTAGGCTCTGGGGAATGAGATGAGTAGGATCCATAAAGCCCTTAGAATTACTAGTTGCAACTTCCCCAACACATAAACTATAGTACTCCAGGTAACCTATTTTCAGAGCTCTCAAACCTCCAAAACCAGTACTGATCAAAGACTTGTGGGGGGAAAAAAGGCAGTTTCAGGCACGTGGCATATTTTAAGTTTTCTGTAAGACTGTGGTCTGACATGGATAATGGATCAGGGTCTAATTCAGGTAACTGTTGCGACGTCTAATTTAAAGAATCACGACAAATATAATTTTAGATGCCTGTTTCCAGCAACTATCTTAAAAATATTCCAGGGTTTCTGGGGTCAAAATACAGAGAGGGACACCGCCTTAACTAGTTGATGGAAGTATTTATTTATTGCAAGGTTTTTCTTTCAAAGGCTTGCTATTCTAGGTCTGCCTTTTCTAGCACTGAAAAGGAACCGGTGACAAACAATGCTGAATTTCTCCATTGGGTTAAGTGAAAAAACGATTCGTCCTTTGATTTAACCCTAGGACTCCAAAGAGTGCTGAATTGTGCTCCATGCTGTTGGACAAGGTGAAGTCATAAGCAGCAATTATTATGAGTCCGTTAGATTCTTTCCAGTATTCTGAGTTCAGCTGTACTCAGAACAGAAAATTAACTTAGGAGGTTAAAAATGCACTTTGTAGCCTTAATTAGAAAAAAGAGCTTTTGCCAATAATTTTTTGCCCATAGCTTTGAAGGTGTTTGGGTGGGGTGTGGAGAGAGCACGCAAGTAGGATTTCTTATTCAGCTGGGATGTTCAAAATGGGTTATAAAAATTACTCCACTAATTACTAAAATATAAGATCCAATTCTACCTCACAAGTGAAAAGGAAAATTAGTGTGATTTCCCCAACAAGTTTTTGAAACAGATGTCACTAAAACATGTGGCCAGCTATGTGACCACAAGTTTTGACATACTAAATAAAACTGAATTATATGGCGACTATAATTTAATACATATATAAGTCACAGGATATGGAGTACAACACAGGGAATAGAGTCAATGGAATTGTAATAGATATATACGATGTCAGAGGGGCAATAGATTGGGGGAGGAGGTTATCACTTTGTGAGGGGTGAAATGTATAACTATTACATTGTTTTGTACCTGAAACTAATAATAAGAAAATAAAAGAAAAAGAAACAAACAAAAAATCTAAGGTGATAATGGAGAGGCAGTTAACAACTCTCTAGGTGAAGATTCAGAGAAACTGAGATTGTACTTCAGGCTGGAAGCCAGCTACTTACCAGATCCTGGAAAGTTTCTCTTTTCACATATATAGGAATAAAACTTTGCTCCCAATTAGAGGAGAAAGCAAACATCTTTGGCCCAAGCAGTTTCTCTTATATTCAGTGTCAATTCCAGACACAAAAAAGAAAAACGCTCAAGTTTAACAAGTATAGTTTAATATACAGCATGCCGTAACTGACAACTTCAGCAGCAAAAAGTTCTTGGACTAAGTAAAAGAAAATTGATAGCTATTTTACTTACACATAATAACGAAACATATTAAAAGGGATATTTTAAAGAAAATGCTTAGGAACGACTTGTTTGTAGAATAAGTTTTCAAAACTGCAAATTTTCATGTGGGGGAACTCTTTAGCAAAGATAGATAGGATTCTTCTATCTAATCTCAAAGCAACAACCAATTGAAAGAACAGTATAGCATAAATTCCCCTCTTCTAAAAATGACCTTGAGGCATTAATATTGAGATCCTATTGGACTTTGAATTTTTGAATTGTATAGACTAAGTCAACATACATTACATTTTCAAAAGCCTCAGTTTGTGGCCAGTGCTTTGATCAGACATATTTTAATGATTTAATTACTAGAATCTTAGTAGAAAACAAATATCTGAATGAGGAATGAGATGAAAAGGGGAACAGAGAGGCCTTATTTTTAATGGAATTCACAGGAAAGCAAAAATAACTACTTCAGGGTTATATCTATTTTTAAGTGTCTTCAAAGCAAAGGTACCTGGCTCAGTACTTCCTGATTCCTGCTATTCCAAACAGGGAGACTGAAACCAGTGGACTAAGAGCTCCTTTGTGGTGCCATGGGGAAACCAGATGGCACGTTTACTTTAGAAATCTAAAACCCAAACCACACGCACCCGTTTCTAAGTTCAGTTTCTTAAATTCTTGTGAGTGGGTTGCCAATAGGCAAAAGGAAATGTAAAATTTGAGAACTCCTGAACAGAAGCGAACCCCAAAGCATTTACTGACTGTAGACGAATACAGTCATCACATTGTGAGTAATGGGGGAAAAAAAGCTCCCCGCCTACTCCTTTCCCCACCTGTTAAGAGCCTGAAATAACACAAGCATGATGAAGTGAATGTTATTACACTCCGGTTCTCTTGATTTATCATGCAAATTCCAGAGCACCACGTTGCTTGCAATCAGTACTGCACCTTAAATTCATAAACTCTGAATCACCCACCACATCGTTTCTCTTCTTTCCTACATAGTTGTCATTTTCACACACAGCTACTTCATCAATGCTTATCGAACAGTGACTGGATTTATTCAGTGTGGTAGATCTTTCTATTGCTTCCTTTCATCAGATGCCTGCATAACACTGCATTTATCAGATAACTATGAAAGGTCATTTCAAGTACACATCTACTCACTTCAGTACAAACCAATGGCAAGTCCAAAAAACATGTTAGACCTACTTACTTGTATCTCAGAAACAGCCACTGGGTGATCCACAATCCAACTAATATAATCCCATTTATTTCTGATACAGAAAATGCCCATTTCACCCGATCAATGTAATCAAAAAACTTGTCTGGGAGTGGAGGGCTGAGCTCCTTGGGAGGGACCCTCTCATGTACAACTGTGATCATGACGGTTGTCAAGACGAGGTTGAAAAGAGCATACACGAAGGCAATGCCTGTTTTCCACCACTCCAGGGGAAATTTGTTCCTCGATTCAGTGGGCATAGCAATTTGGATATAGTCAGGGTACTTTTTGGCGCCCTTTCGCAACCCATTGGGCAAGCTCTTAGGTTTACCGTTGCCATTTTTGTTTTCTTCTTCAACAGGTTCGGCAGGTCTTGTGTAAGTGTTTGTAGGATCGTTGGTTTGAATTTCCAAATGTTCTTCAAGTTTTGCTGTCTCTATGATATCCATTGTCTCCCAATCTTCAGATCAAAAAGGAGATGGTCAAGTTTTTTTGCAGAAACGTATTTTAATCCTTCTGTTTCCAAGATCAACATGGACTCTTCAACTGATTCTGTTTCCTAGCACAAAACGTAGAAGAAGGTAGCCAGTGATTACTGGTCTTCTCACGCAGGTACCTGCAGTATGGTCACCCCTTTCAGGAAAGCAAGTCAATTTCCTTCTCCCAAAAGATGTTACTCTCCCACCTGTAAAAGCAAAACAAAACTATGTTCATAAACTGTGCTTGTCCAATTGTCCACTATCCGAAACAAAACCATTGTCAAAATAAGGAAACAAATACCAAAGCCATTTGCTTTATAAATATAATGTCAGAACATAGCTAAAGCTGCTGAGATGGAGTTTATTTAGAAAATATTGAATTGTTTTATCTTGGAATTCTTCTCTTTTTGAGCTGATGTCAGTATAAATAGGAACATTTTAATAATCAATCCCTTTTACATTTCTTTAAATAGAAGGCAGGACCCAACATTGCAAACACTTCCTCAGATACCATTACCTGTTGCTAACCGTGAAGTCATAACAAGCTAGAACCTCCCCAGATCACAGCATTCCTTCCTAAGACTGTATCTTTTCTATGAACCTTAAAGAATACAAAACTGTGATGAGTTGATTACATCAATTAAATAACTGTCACACTCTGCATTTGTCAAAACAGTCAACTTTATTTTCTTATTAAAAATCTGGAATCTTTTTAAGTGACCACTTTTCAGAGCTACACATTCAAGAGCTACACATTCAAGGTCATTTTTAAATGGCACTGCCTCAATTTATCCTTTTTTAAAAAAATATTCAGAGATGCACACCCTACACAAGGAAAGTCGACCGCTTTCAAAAAAAACAGAAAGCCTTAAATACACAAAGCCTTGGCTGTATCTCATTTAGGTAACAAGCTACTTATTTCTTGAAGAATAAAATAATTTAGTACAAGTCACATAGTAATTTAGCAACATTTTGATGCAGCCACCACAATTCCTAGCAAACAATAGAAACTGGCACCCAGAGGACCAGCTCGGGGCACTTACCCACCACGACCCCGATGAGGAAAGGGTGCCTTTACCTGAAGCTCTACAGACTCCACAGAGCAAGAACTTCTTCACAACACAGAGCACCAGCACCAGCTCTTTTATACTTGCTAGCAACACGGCCCCAGCTGTTCTCAATTTAGGAAAGCAGTATTTTAGTAATACTACAGAACCCAACCACCTGAAGAGGTTTTCAAACCTTGTAATTAGTCCCCAGCCTGGGTACACTGCACAATTTAAGCATAATCCTTTGCATTTTAAAGGCTTCTCTTCCAGAATAAATTCGGGGGGAAAAAAATAAGGAGGGAAAACTCAAAGTGGTGACAGCTAAGCCTTTATTTAACGAAAGAAAAAAACCTTTAAATGACAGACTCAATATTTGTTGACAGTTGTGGATGGCAAATAGAGCAACCACAAGTGTTTATTGTATATCTAAATGCCCCAGTGCTGAGGGATATGTGGGGCGCAATTAAAAGGATTTTAAAAAAATAACACTGACCAGAACATTCACCCAAAGAGCTCCCAGTCTAACTTCTAACTGAAGAGACACAACTAAAACAACAAAACTATTTGAGATGACTGAATAGCATGTTAGAAAAGAAGGGTAAGGAGAGCACTAGATAAAAACATAGCTTTACTTGTATCCCTATTCCCCTGACAAGATGTATCCACAGAAAGGCACTGTCCATTTCTGAGGAAGCAAAAGCAAGACGAGAGTTAGCCTGGCAGAGAAATGGAGGATCACGGATGGATGGAGACCCGGTAAGAGATACTACTGAGCATTTCCGACATCTCGCTTTCTCTTGTCCCTGTGAAAACCCCCAGCTACTAATACATTAGAGCAGGACGAGAAAGGAGCAGTGTCCTTCTCCTGTAAGAGGAGGTTCACTCTTCGCAGTGCCCGAGCACAATGCCGTGGGAAGAGGAAGTATAATGAAGAGGTGCCTCCGTAGGATATCATCAAAAACCAAACCTTCAACACCACGGATTCCTATTTCTAATGCAGGTATCAAAGCACTAACTCAGCCATTGCCAGTCTCTTTGCACCAACTCTAGGCTATACCACTCATAGCATCTTGCCAAACTGTCATCCTAATTTCCTCCAACTTTACTACTCCCCATCTGCTCCGAGCCTGGCATTCGTATGTGAAAGATGATTGTGATTTTAAAAGCCAGGTCCACCAGCTGACATACAGATGGTCTTTATAAGGTAGCTCCCCGGTTCTAGAACACAGAATGTAGAACAGAAGAAAATCCAACTAGTTATTTTTTTAAAGAGGAAGTACTCAGCCACCCATCTCATGGGACAACTGTGAGGATGACTGAAATAATTAATCATGAAGAGCTTCGTGCTCTTGGGAGTAAGAGCACTCTGTGAGTGCAAAGCCCATTTATCATCATTAGCAGCTGGATTGATATTTTCCTTGGGATTTCATTAAGAAGATTAAGTAGACAAAGCACATTCAGCGTGTGTCAACCAATCTTCGGATGAAATGTTTGTCGTCAAGATGATGATTACAACATACTCATTCCTATGGTGATTGTTCCCTACTACTAAGTATTTGAAAAAGGGACAAAAGTCACAATAGTCCCTCTGCATAGATGGCAACCCCATTAGTTCATTCATTCATGGCAGAGTGCAAAGCAGATGAAGAGACTCCCAAGTCTTCTTACATTGCAAAATACTGGACGTTAACCTAGATAATATTTAAAGAGCTAAAGACCACAATAGACTAATTTTCCGCTTGAAGGCAAATGCAAAAGTCTAAAACTTTTAGTACACTGATATTGTTCTGTTAGTATTTTCTTCTGAACTAAGTATGATTTAGCCCAGAAATGCAAGGAAGCTTTCAAATTAAGAAGTGATTGTAGGGGCAACCACTTAGCTCAGTTGGTTAGAGCACAGTGCTCATAACACCAAGGTTGCCGGTTCGATTCCCGCATAGGCCACTGAGCTGTGCCCTCCACAGCTAGATTGAAACAACTACTTGACTTGGAGTGGATGGGTCCTGGAAAAACACACTGTTCCCCAACTTTTTTTTTTTAAAGTGATTGTAACAAAATACAAATATATGTAAAAAGAAAAGATACGATCATCCTGAGTGAAGTGAAAAAGGCATTTGATAAAATTCAACATCCACTTGATTTTGGAGAGAGAAATATTTCAATAGTGGGACTAGAAGTATATATAGTTATGCTCTTTCGATGCCAATATCACAATTTTAACTGTGTAATATGTGTTCTAATATCTGGTAAAAAGAAGTCTCCCACTACTGCTCCTCTTTTCATTCCTGAGAACTTTATAGAGTCTTTTTGTCAAATTACAAGAAAACACATCATTGTGCTTCTATGTTTTATTTCTATTACCTCTATTAATATCATAAAGGGCTTGATATTACCATAGTAATATATAACATTAGTCATTTTCTCTCAATAATTCCAACAGGACTGTTCCTGTAATTTGACAAAATGATAATAATAACCTTCACCAGGAAGCAGAAATGGGAGGAGCAGCACGTTTTTACCAGTAGATGTGAGACCACATCACATAACTAATATTGGGTGATGACACCCCGTTATTCCATTTGGCGAGTTATCCAAAGGAAGTAAGGATGTATAAAAAATATTTCTGAAAGTAGGCTTTCAACACAGTTATCTATGAGAAAATAGGAACTAGCCTAAATCCAACGACAGGGTATTAGTTAAATAAATCATGCTATCTTTATATAAAATACTGTTTTCATATAGTAACTATAAAACCGTGAGATACACATATACATAAATAGGGTGTAGTATTCAATTAAGTAGAAACTTAGATCTGAATAGATGTAGAATCTCAATAATTCATATCAGAGGTTATGGTTTAAAAAAAGGGGGAAGGGGCCATGTGAAAGATATTCAAGCTATAAGAACAGGTCCCTGTGTGAAACTCATGACATTGTCCTGCAGCTGGTCTAAGCGGAGGCTCTCTGATCGTATCCTGCAGGAACTGAGCAGAGACAGAAATTCTGGTCGAAGGGCTTAGAAATCCTCTGCTGCTAGATTTGTATGTCAAGGGCTTGGTTGTACATCTGAAGTGGTTAAGAAAATAATGTATTAAATGTGTAATTATAGTTTAAAAATTATGGAAACATCTAAGTTTATATATGGGTTTTAATGCAATCTGTTACTTTAATCTATTGAAGATGGGAGTTAAACAACGATCAAAGAAAATGTGTTTCTAATATTTACACATCAGAAAAATGAATAAAAGAGATTTATGCATTGAGCTCAAAGGTTTAAGAAAAACTAGGTCTTAAAACAGAATTATATTGAACTGAATATCCATGAAAACAAACAGCTGATGAGTTCATTAACAGATACAAAAGCTTTCTGAGGCCTTAAAAAAGAAAACTCAATTGTCACCAGAAAGCCATTAAAAAGTCAAGCAGAATAAAATAGCTATAAAAAAATAAAAATAACAGTTCTCGGTAAATGTTATTCATTTGCCATAAATAAATGTTACTTATGTGTACTTACTTTATGTGTTTTGTGTATTATCTAATTAATCCTCATAACAACCCCAGGGACTATTTTAAAGAAAAGAAACTGAGATAAAGTAAGATGCCCAAGATCAGACAGGTAGGAAGTGGCAGAGCCCAGATTTGAACCAGAAATCTGACCTCAGGAGCCCCTGTTCTTAATGACACACCACCACCTCTGGTGCCATTCATTACATGTTAGAGGGCGACATATAGTCAGTGAGAAAGGTTAAGAGACAATCAATTATAAGCTCCCCACCACTCCCCGCCCCGAGATTCATAAATACACACAAAAGTCCTCTAGATAATATTAGAGGCATTTTTGTAATCTTTGGAATTTTGTAGAAATTAATATATACTAAGAAAAAAATTTAATATATAATTCACCTCCCTTGTGGGGTGGGAGGGGAAAACAAGCCTCTTAAGCATTTCCTTGTTACCCACATGTGCCCACTTAATTATAGTTACTGTTACTAATAAGCCACCATATTAAATTTATAATATAGGTATATCACTTTATGTTAACAGGGTCCAATTTAGCTAAGAAATTTCATGTCCATAAAGTTTTTCCTGAGACCAAAACACCTTAGCTTTTACATATTAACATTCTTAGAGCTTAACTTGTACAATTATAAAGATCTC